ATATATATATATATATATATATATATATATATATATATATATATATATATATATATATATATATATATATATATATATATATATATATATATATATATATATATAACACTAATTTGTGTTGATGATTAATCAATCAAGTCAACCACCTATTAAAAAAAAATTTTATAATATTATCTCCAATTTTTAATTGAGATTTTAAAATAATTAATATGTATTTCATTATTCATTTTAAAAAAATAGAAACATCACAATTTTGAGTTCAAAAAATGCTAGAATGCTATTTAAGTTAAAAATGGCATGATTAGTTTTTAACTAAAACTAAATATATTTGAAAATATTATTAAAAAATTAATAATATATAAAGTTTTAAAAAAAAAAAACTAAATAAGAGCTAAATATTTTACAAAGGTCATATGACAAGTCACTTTATTTCAAATGATTTAAATATGGACGACAACACATACACTTTAATTGGACGGAAATATTTAAGAAAGATCTTGAGGAGTGAATAACCAAATCCCATTAATAATATGGTTGACATTGAAAGATACAAAAAGTTTGTAAGATATAATCATCACTTTTGGTGCTTTTAGATTAAAGTTGACAATGAAAAAAAAACATATTATATCTTTATTTAAATCATTTTTAAGCTTGTTTAATCAAAAAAATATTTTGAAAATATGTTAACTAGAAGTTTGTTTGATAAGAAGTTAGGTAATATTTTAATGGGAATCCCTTATAGTTGAACCTTTACATCAAGGTCAATATTATTTATGGTAAAATTTCTCATATATATATATATATATATATATATATATATATATATATATATATATATATATATATATATATATATATATATATATATATATATATATATATATATATATATATATATATATATATATATATATATATATATATATATATATATATATATATATATATATATGAATGTTTAATTATAATTTTATTATTTAGCTAGTTTCAAATAATAGAAATAATAATTATTTAAAAAAATGAAATCAAAAAATAACTTTTAATATGATTAATATTTTGAAATAAAATAAAATAATTAACAAAAAATTATTTAAAATAAATCTTTTTATGTAAAATCAAGTAAATAATTACATATATTTATATATCATTAAATAGTTATCATTTAGTTAAACAATTAAATTTTATCAAACACTTTAATATTGAGTAGGCTAGATTTTAGTAGCTTTAAAGTATCAAAACTTAAATAATAGTGCTAGCAACAATCATTTAACTAGAGACTTTACTTTATTGGATGAAATATGTGGGGTCTACCTTAAAAAGCAACATACATGGACGTGTAAGAGAAGAAAATATTGAAAGATTTTGACACATACATATTTTTTTCCTATTCTATCACTAAGATATCACATCATAATGAGTGCTTTTGAAAGATGAAAAAAGTGCAGCACGAAAATAGTTTGTTTTATTTGAATTTAAGTAGGAATTATTCAAGTTTTTTTACTCATACATTTTTGTTCGAATTATTCAAGCTTTTTTTACTCATACATTCTTGTTCGAATATTCAAGCTTTTTTTTTAATCAAGAAATTTTGGCGTTAATTCAAAAAACCATACAAACCAAGGCGATCAAATGATCCAGCCCACAAAACAATCAAACTACCTTAAGGCAAAATAAATCTAGCTATACGTGGTCTAAGCTTTGGACTAGTCCACCCTCTATACATTATATTGTAAATAATTCTATCAAGGCAATTCCTATTATCAGTTCTATGATTAAAACAGGCTTCGTTTCTATAAAGCCAGATCTCATGAAGAGTTTCTGTAAGGGCAAGCCTAACCAGATCAGATTGTCAGCCTTTCCCACCATAATTGCTCAGAGCCCATTGCATTTCCTCTTGCCATCTTTTTGGAGTGTGTTGAATGCCCAACCACTGAAGAATACCACTCCATATTTGCTTCAATTCCACACAACAAAAAAATAAGTGATCAATGGTTTCCTCTTCATTGCAAAAAGCACATTTGTTATTGTTGATCATGCCAAATCTGAACAGTCTTGACTTGGTTGCTAGCTTTCCATGACAGATCGTCCAGAGAGTAATAATTGCCTGGGGTCTAGCTCTATTGTGAAGGATTAATTTGGCCCATGGAACATTAGGAGTAATAGGTAGGAGGCTTTGATACACTTTCCTCCCATGGAATTTACCCATCTGCAGCATAGCATCCCATGTACTCTGTATGGTCATTAGCTTGTCCCTTTGTATTAGAATCGCTTTGAAAATTCCAGAGTCAGATCCTTTAACCATTCTAGTCAGAATATCTTCTGTCTCAAGTAGTAAGCATGTATCCAACGCACCCACAAATCATCAGATTTTGCATAGATATTCCAGAGAAGTTTTATCACAAACATACTATTCCACACTTCCAAATTCATCACATTTAGTCCGCCTTGCACATGTGGTTTACACACATTTTCCCACGCTACTGGACTTTTCCTGCTTATATTATTACCACCTGACCACAGAAAGGAGCGACATATAGCATTGATTTTGTTGATCACCATTTTTGGAAACCAAATGCATTGCATCCAGTAGGTTGTGATAGCATAGAGCACACTCTTGATGAGTTGCAGCCTACCTGCATAACTCAACAATCTAGAGCTCCAATGAGTTATCCGGCTAAGTAATTTGTCCAACAGCGGCATGTAATGGATCACATCAAGACGCTTACTCGTCAACTGGATACCAAGATACCTAAAAGGGAAAGACCCTTCTTTGTATGAAGTTAGATGGAGGATGCCGCACTTGACACTCGCAGGTACATTACCAAAATACACCTTGCTCTTGGAAGGGTTTATTTTCAAACCTGTAGAATCCAGGAATTTGTTCAAAGTTGAATAAAGTATTTCCACAGACACATGATCACCTCTAGAGAACAACAAAAGGTCATCAACAAAGGTTAAGTGAGTTATTTGCAGCCTTTCACATTTAGCATGGTGGTTAAACTCTGGATTCCTTTGCATCTTGAGAAGTAACCTGCTGAGATATTCCATGATGATTACAAACAGGAGATGAGATAATGGGTCCCCCTGCCTAATTCCTCTCCTAGCATTGATCCTATCAGTATACTGGCCATTGATATTAAAGCGATAAGAAACTGTAGTCACAGTGGTCATAATCCAATCTACAAATTTCTTAGGTAAACCAACTTCACTAAGAATATTTTCAAGAGCGCCCCAATCAACCATGTCATATGCTTTTTGTAGATCTAGTTGGACCATGCATCTAGGGGTACCTGTATTCCTGTTATAACCTTTTAACAGCTCCATAGCTAGTAAGATGTGAGAATGGATTTTCTGGCCTGGAACAAATGCCGCCTGCGCTTTACTGATGATGTTGCCCAAAACCTTCCCAAGTCTGGTTGTGAGAATCTTGGATATGATTTTGTAAATTGTGGTGCAACCAGCAATAGGCCTGTAATCTTTCAAGGTTTTGGCGTCCGGATGTTTGGGAATAAGAGTAACGGTAGTTTCGTTGAAAGCTTTATAAATCATATTCTGCTCAAAGAATTTTGTAACAGCTTCAATAACATCCTTATCAACAATGTCCCAGCTTGCTTTGAAAAATTTTCCACCGTAACCGTTAATACCTGGGCTCTTGAGGTCTCCTATCCCTTTTAATGCATTAGTGATTTCAGCAACAGATATTGGTGAAATTAGATCAGCTCTTTGTTCCATGGACAGTTGAGGCCCTTCCCTCATGACTTCAATATCTATCATATTAATTCTGGATTCCCTGGTGCCCATCAGTTTCCCATAAAACTCACATACCTCCCTTTTTATGTCCTCCTGTTTATGTATACAAGTACCATCCTCTCTATAAAGTTGGCTGATATGTGTGGTTGTAGTTCTGGATTTGAGGTAAGCATAGAAGAATGATGAATTCGTATCGCCTTCTCTAAGCCAATTAATCTTAGTCCTCTGTCTCAGCATTTGGTCCTGAAATTCTTGAAGTTGGATCAAATTATCAGTACAGGTTTTAACTTTCTCAATAGTCTCAGTGTTCATACGATCCATAATGAGACTTTCCTGGTTTTGTAATAATTCATTCCTTGCTTGGGCAATGGTCTGATGGAGGTTTGAAATTTGTTTACTCAATCTGCAAAGGGGAGCTTGTAGTCTCAGCAGTTTAAACCGCAGTCTAGCCATAGGTCTGCCTGTGATTTCCTTATTCCAGCTCTATTTGACAGTGTCATGATATTCTGGTATTTGCACCACACTATTAGTAAACCTGAATTTCTTGTGCACTCCTCTGTTAATCTTCTCAGCATTCAAACTTAACAGGCAGTGATTAGAGATACTAGGAGGGAGAATTTCCAGCTTCAAATCCATACTATCCTGCAGCCAATCTATATTACCAAGAACATGGTCAATTTTTGAGTAAATTGTACCTATAGAATGTTTATTTGTCCATGTAAAATAGTCGCCCGTGCTATCCTTCTCATACAAGCCAGCATGATTCATCAAATTTTTGAGATCTTCAACCTCTCTGTCAGTCACCAGGTTACCACCAATTCTGTCCATAGATTTGGTAACATTATTTAAATCGCCTATAAGGAACCATGGACCCTGTTGACTGTCATGGATATGTTCCAGTTCTTCCCACAGTTTCTTTCTTTGCTCTAGTTGATTCATTGCATAGATAGCTGTCATCCAAGTTTGGAACACTCCATTGACATCATGGATACCACAGTGTATCATCTGTGAAGTGCATTTTATCACTCTGACATCACATTTTCTCTCATCCCAGTTGATCCAAATTCTGCCATTGTAATTGTCATGGTATTGGCCTTTGAGGTTCAGCTGATCTCTGATTTTCCTCGCCTTGTCATACTTTACTCTTGTCTCTAGTAAAATTGCAATCTTAGGGTGAAGGTTAAAGAGACGGGAGCTAATCTCCTTTAACTTCCCCACTTTATTCAGCCCCCTCACGTTCCAAGATGTAATCATTGGCCGGTATTTTGAGACTCTATAAGATCCTTCGAAATCTCAAGAGCCTCAAAGCCGTTGGCACAAACAATCTTATTTATATTGTTAGGGTTGTCTTGTGGTTTACCTCTATCCTTACCACTTCGTATGACTTCTATCCACTTTTCCATAACTGCCTCAACCTGCTCAATAATGTTCACTCCATTTTCTAGAGGTGGATCAGCAGCCTTACTCACCAGATCAGTGGGACACTCACCTAATGTATTTCCCTTAGCATTGTTCTCCACAGCAGGGGAATTAACCTTGTCTCCTACAATGTTGTTGTTTCCCTCAGTCCTATGAATCCTTTTAGTAGTGTTGTCCATCACAGTTTTCACATTGTCTACATGTTGTGGTGCAGGTTTTGGTTTCCATTGTTGTGTGACTTTGGGTTTATCACAGCTATGACCAACCTTTTGACACTTGCTGCAGAACAGGGGTCTCCATTCATACTCAATAGGTTGTTGGATTTTCTCTCCTTCATTATCCCCAATGGTAATTATTTGTGGCAGTTCCTTTGTAATGTCCATTTCCACAAGTATGCGCGCATATGATACTCTGAGTCTGTTTGCCGTACATTCGTCTGTCATGATGGGGTTTCCCAGGGAACTTCCTATCTTGTTTAAACTTGTATCTCCCCACAGAATGATGGGTAGTTGAGGCAATTTCACCCAAATTGGTAATGTTCGCAGGATTTCATCTTTGACCTTGAAACCTGGCCTTCATTCTCGAATCAGCAGAGGGATGTTTCTTATCATGTATGGTCCTCTCAATAGCACTTCATCACGATCCTTGAATGACTTGAATCGAAGAATAAAATAACCTTCATCATTGTAATACATATCCGAAAATTGAACAAAATTCCAGTTCCTAGTCATGAAATTCTTAACTGCATTCATGCTAAGGTCAACTCCCATTGTATAGAGGATCAAGGAGGATTCCCAAATTTAACTTCAGAGATAATGTCTTCGTCTTCAATTACAACTTCCAATTTTCCATTCACAACTTGGGGTGCGATGAATTTCATCGCCTACCCTTCGTCGGATTTCGATTATCCTTCAGTACATCTACCCATAGCTTGCGACCTTCCTCAGATGCTCCTTCATGGATAGGTTTTCCATTCTCAGGTTGCTTAGGTATCACAGCTTGTATTGCATCCATCGATTGAGTGGCGGTTTCCATTTCTTCTTGATTGGGTTTTCTAGTACGTGCATCTAGGGTTTCAACTTCCAGAATCCCTTCTTCAGTTAAGCTAGTGTTGCTTGCCAGATGATTTCTCAGCTCTAATTGTTGTTGTGCACGTGACACCGGTGGGGTTGTTGATGGCGGAGGCACCGTATTCTTCGGCGGCCGCCCTCGCCCTCTCCCTTTCCCTCTCCCTGTCATTCTTTTAGTGCTTTTTTATCAATAAGCAATATTCAAGCTTTTTTACTCATACGTTCTTGTTTGATATAGTTAGATATTAAATTTATTTTAATTATTATTTAAACATTGTTCTGTTTAGAAATCAGATAGGGATATAGCTGATAAATGAGATGTCTTTAATTAGTGATGTTGATCTTTATTATTGCGGTGCGAGTTGAATTTGTATGGTTAACATTTTGACATTTAAGTCAGTTCAAAATTCAAGATGAATATTATAAGAAATTAGAGATCATAGTGTGTATCTTTCTTTTCATGTGAACTAACGTTTATATCTTAGGTCAAATGGAATGAATTTGAGGCGAATTGAGTCTTAGCTATTTGGGCATTTGACAAGTTCAAAACACTTGCCCCCAAGACTTTTTCGGGCATTGAGTGCGTCGGGGAAGCCTTAGTGATTTAGCCGGCCTCTATAATGATCTCTGGTGTGAGTTAGAACTGAAATGTTTGGAGTCAATTGAAAAAGTAGTGGGGAACAAGTGCATTAAATGCACTTCTGTCATTGAAACGTTTCATAACCTTCTTCTAAAACATGTGAAGACATGACAAGTTAAGGCATGGAGAAGCTTATAATGCACTTGAGTTTGCATGTAGTCCCAAGGAGAAATCTGGTTGTTGTTCTTTAAACCCGTTTCCTTAGCTAATATGGATTGTTTAGCTAGCTCCACCTATAAGTAGGAAGAGTTGGACGTTTTGGAAACTTTTCACAAACCTTGCCTTTCAACTTATTCATAGTAATTTTTTTAGAAACACATTCATCTCTTATTTTTCTGAAAATACCAATTAGATCGATTGTAGTTCTTTGATCAGAGTCTTTGCTCATTCTTTATCTACTTAGCTTCACCAATCTCTCTCAACTAGGTATCATCCTCAACTCAGCTTTTATCTTCAGCATTTCCTATTTTTTTGTCAAGATGAGCGATAGTACAATTAACCTAGTGAGTAATTTTTATAGTGAAACTTCTTCTTCTGTGGGAATGAGGGCATTCTTTGACTCCCATCTCCACCCACTTGCCCATGTCTCATAGGTCCAGAGGTGGTATCCTTATTTAATGGTTCTTACTTAGAAAGGGTATTTGGGGATTTCATGGAGGAAAGACATTATTCATAGGACTCATTTCAAGCTCTTTTATCCAACATTGGTGGGGAGGTGAGTCACACTGAGGTTCTTATGTCCCATTTTATCTTGACCGGGGAGGAAATATGATGATTGTCGTCATTATATAACTTTTACAAGCAATTTCAGATGAAATCGGAGAAATAGTGAGCAAAAGTCATGTCAAAGTATGAAGAAAGGAGAAAAAAACAAGGTTCATCTCAAAAAGCCATAATCTAGATAAATTTAGCTACTCATTGGTAAAATGACAAATATCATGAGTGGATAAGTATTCATTATCAAAATCTATAGAAGAATTGCTCTCCAATGACTCCAATGTGCTCCAAAATTGCTATTTGAATGGCCTTACCTGTCACGTTCTCTCTCTGATTAAGAACCCCTCAAGAAGCAACCAAACATCCCTTTAAATAGCAAAAAATGTGTCACATGAACAAGCACCATCGCGTCTGCAACAACCAACATCGCACTGTGATGCAACACGCTAGTATTGCCCCTGCGATGATTCTAGTAGCAAGATATTATTTTTATTTTTCTTTTGCAAAAAATATGTCTCAATCCAAGTTACGAAACTCCATATAGGATCAAATTACTAGACATACGTCATGATTTAAATTATGCTAAAAAATGCTAATTTTTTTTCACATTTTCTTCACGATTTCTCGGTTTTATTTTGTTTCTTCAACTTCTTAGTTTTTTTATTCTTTCTACACACTTTGGCATGAATTTTCTCATGATTTCTCTGATTTCATATGATTTTTTTTTGTAAAAATTGTGTAATGACGTCTGTCCTCACAACTACAAACTTGAATTGATACTTGTTGTAACGCCCCAGAATGCTTTCAGGATTACCGACTGACCCCACAAACCAACACGGATCTTTTCAACATGCTTTTTCCTCACTCACATATTTTTCGAGAAACTTCCCAGAAGGTCACCCATCCCTAAATTGCTCCAAGTCAAACACGTTTAACTGTGGAGTTCTTATAGAACGGGCTACCAAAAACAAAAGATGCATTTTGTTGGTATAGGTAGTACCAATTAATCCTTATAAGCATTTGTTCAACCATGCAGTATCATATCTGCAGAACCTCAAGATGTTTCTCATTCCGATGTGAATTCAATTTTCCTCTAGAAGCTGCTGGGAGTGTCTCATTGTCATGCCTCTTGCACCAACAACCACTCCCTTGCTCTCGGGTGTTACATGTAACCACTATATGGTCTCTTCGACCTCGGGAGTTACATGCCCACCAACTTCCACTTGGTTCATCCCCGAACCACATCCTACTGGGAGAGGTCCGACTCTGATACCATTTATAACGCCCCAGAATGCTTTCGGGATTACCGACTGACCCCACAAACCAACACGGGTCTTTTCAACATGTTTTTTCCTCACTCACATGCTTTTCGGGAAACCTCCTAGAAGGTCACCCATCCCCTAAGTTGCTCCAAGTCAAGCACGCTTAACTGTGAAGTTCTTATGGAACGGGCCACCGAAAAGAAGATGCATCTTGTTGGTATAGGTAGTACTAATTAATCTTTATAAGCATTCGTTCAACCATGTAGTCTCATATCTACACAACCTCAAGATCCCCCTCATTCCGATGTGAATTCAATTTTCCCCTAGAAGCTGCTAGGAGTGTCTCACTATCATGCCTCTTGCACCAACAACCACTCCCTTGCTTTCGGGTGTTACATGTAACCACTATATGGCCTCTTCGACCTCGGGTGTTACACTTGTCCTCTAGTAACTTATCGATACACTTAACTTTCATCTGAATTAAAATACTCACCCTTACAAATGAATGTCACATTTTTCTTATCAATACTCCAGTTCCATGCTTTGGTCCAATCAACTCGAAAAAGTTCTTCCAACATACATATACTCAACCTGTCTCTCATCTCACAATTATGTACTCAATTTGACAGAATAGTCACTCAATCAACATACAAAAGCATTTAACCATGAATTTGAAAAAATTTCTAATTGAATCAATCAAAGTCATATTTAAACACACACTTTGAAATCTTTTACAGGTTGTAATGTGACTTATGTCATGGTAGGATAGTTTAGGATAATAGGCTTAAACCTTTGAAGTTAGGTACCTAGTTGTCCTGATGTTATCAACTTCCTTCGATATCACTCTTTTATGCACTTGGTACTAGAGAATTTCATATTGTTGGTCCTATTTTTCACAAGTTTTTTTGAAAAAACTATGTTTAACTTATTTTTTTACTTCCTTTTTTCTTTCTTTTTGACCAATTTCGCTAGTACCTCAATCCCAGACTTATTTGTTGCTAACTTCCAAGAGAAACCTTAAACTTATTCTTTTGCAATCAACTATGAGCTAAAATTTTCTAACTAACTCCAAAGAGGGTGGAAATATTTAATCTTTTAAGTTAATGGCTATATAATACGACTATGTCACCGAAATAAAGGTTTAGGCTCAAAGCGGCTCAGAGTTTTCACAAAAACCTACCTGAGTTTTTATTTATTAGACCAATAGATTCAAAATCATAATAAAATGCAAATTTTAGAAAACGACCAATGTATGGATACTCTCATAAGAAGGAAACATAAACAGTGGAAAGTATTTGGCTCAAACTTTGCTAGCTGATGTATCTAGAGATTAAGTACAAGTAGTTAATTTCCCTTTTCTTCATAAACTTTCAATATGCAGGAGAACTTCATTGTTGATCTCTTTCATTCTTTCTTTTTCTTGTGACTTTTTCTTTTCTTTTTCATGATGGAAGTGTAACGTAGAAAATTAAAAATTAAAAGAAAAACAACAGCAAATAAGTTCATTGACTTCAAGCAAAGAAAAGTACACATGGAATCTTTAGTTATGGTCAGTATTCTTTTTTTGGATCATAGCACTAAAAGGGAAATAATTGAAATAAACTAAAACTGAAAAACTGAAAAATGATGGGTTGCCTCCCATTAAATGCTTCTTTGAGTTCCTTAGCTTGACCTTTTGCTCCTATAATCAGGTTCCTCCTTCAAACTTGTATCAATGTATATAATTGGTTTGAAATCAAATTTTATCTTGTGCA